TGTATTTATATTATATTTTTAATAACTAAACCAAAAAGTGTCAAAAAAATGTGTTGAACCAAGAGTGTAACAATCATTTTACTTTGTATATATATAATAACTAAGTTAACTATAAATATGTAGGGTTAGAATTGATAATTTAATCAAAGTATATATATGTATAAATTAGTTAAAAATAATCTCATATTTAATAGTGTTAGATTTTTATTACAAAATTTATGATTTATAAGATATATAAATATATGCTACTAGTGGATGGTTAAATATTAATATATATATCTACAAAATTTTGACATAACTGACCGTCATTATTGACTATCGATTATATAAGTATAATCAACAAAAATTCTATTGATTATGCATATATAATTGACAACCACTATTGGCTGTTGATTATACTTGTATCCTACCTCGCCTAACAAAAAAAATTAAAGTTTGCAGTATAACAAATTCAAAATATAATCAACAAAGTATAATTGACAAAAATGTTATCAATTATACTTTCTTTATATATGTGGAACTAGAAAAAAAAACCTTCAAACATCCTCTCATCTGGTCTTCTCCCAAATTTTCCATCCTCCTTCCCTCTTATATAGATATGCGCACCCCATTTTTCTCTTCTACCTTTCTGAATCTTTCATTGTCTTTTTCTTTTTTTAATTTTCTTCATCCTCTCTTCTCCCAAAACTCTACCATTTTAATACCTAGTCTTTTCCTTTTCTAGGTACCTCTCTTCTTCTTCTTCTTTCATTGTTTTTACATTACTTCACCTTTTCCCTTTAATTCCTTCTACCTTTCTAAGGTCTTGGGTTTTTTTTTTTTTCTTTTTCTTTTTTCATTTATTTTAGTTTCTATACTATCCAATTATTTTTATTTGATCTAATAACATTTTTTTTCCTTTTGCAGGTTATTAAGGTTGAAATCATATTATGAGGTAACTTATAATACTACTTTTGATTTATGCTTTCAATTTCCTCTTCTCTTTTTTTTCATTATTTTCATAGTATTTGCAAAATATTCTAGGTTTTCAATTAGTTTTTGTAGATTTATCTATATATATACAAACATATTATTGCAACACATGATTGTTTTACATATATTTTGGTTAATGTTTATAATTTAATTAATAAATATAGAATCATTTTTTAAAATTTTTTTAAAATCAGATATCAACATAATCGACAGCCATATCTGTCGATTATATTTATTGGACAGTGATCGGTACACACTCCAGTTCAATACATTGCATGACACACTCATTAAAAAAATCACCATTTTTTAGTCTAAAATTAAAGACAGATAAGTTTAATGATACAATTATACATACAGGATATAAGAACCGGTTGAATTAACTTTATTTATATTATATTTTTAGTGACTTAACTGAAAGTATGTCAAAAAATGTGTCAAAAAATGTGTTGAACCAAGAGTGTGTC